AATATTAATAATCCACGCTTCGCTGGCGTATTCGTAGCACCTTATCGTCATGGATCGGAGAGCAGGTACCTAAATCCTTAGGTCTCAAAGCATACAGGCAATCAAAACAAGATATATTGATCTCAAGCCAGCAAGTCAATGGTTGTAGATGCATTTTATGATTATTGGTAATTACTGGTATTGTAGATACAAAACAGCAACACATCTACAACCTCAGGAGGCTCGCAGTCTGTTTCCGTGTATTGACAGCCCTGAGGCGAAGGCACGTTTTGACGCTACTGTGATCCATCCTGAAGGCACCTACGCGCTGTTCAATATGAAAGAGACGAACGTCACGACCAGCAAGTGAGTTTGAGCTTTGCTTGTAAGGGCGCTTGCATTCTGCTCTATCGGCCAACTAGTGTATTGTAGCAACTAGTGTATTGTACTGGCCAAAGAGTAACGAATTGCAAACAGGTATCTTGACATACGTGCTCTAAGAAGTTTGAAAGTTCCGAGTTGGACCTACGCCTATCCCTGCTTGAGTCTTGTTTGTTGGCTCCATCTCTGTGAAGTATTGTACCCCATCGAAGGAACTGCTAAACAATGGGACTCGCGTATGAGAAGAGCACAGGCTCCATCATACGGCCAGCGGGCTGTTTGATTTCTTTCGAGGATTTGTAGCGGATTTCTACTGCACTTCATCACTGGTGTACCATACCGAATATTTACTCGCCAAATCTGCTTCCAAATTAAGTACCTGAATGAGCCAGTGTGTCCACTCCGTCCAGTCATGAGTTTATCGTAGGAGAAAGTTATCACAAGAATGCTGAGTTGTGGGCAAAACTTTCGCCCCAGCCGGGATTCGTACCCGGATCTCTTGCTTTCCGGGCAATTGTGCTACCAGTTACACCACCGGGGCACCATTTCACCCCAACTCAGCTTCGATGGTGAAGTTACCATAGCTTATCAGCATTCACACGTATAACGTGATGAACCGGTAGGCCGATTTCGGCATTCAACCGCAAGGCTGAAAGCTTTACTAGATGTTACCATTTTGACTTGTTTTTATTGGATAACTGCTGTTTTACGCCGCAGTTCGCGTTGCGAAAGTTATAACAAGAATGCTGAGTTGTCGAAAAACTTTCAATTTCAAACATTGCCCGGAAAGCAAGAGATCCGTGTACGAGTCCCAACCGGGGCGGAAATTTTCCTCACAACTTGGCATTCTTGTGTTTGCAACGCGAGCTACCGGGTGGATACTATGTTTGAGAATAGAAAACGGGAGCAAACACAATTTCGGAAGCGGAAGCAAGTTTTCTGGGAGTGTTTCCTTTAGCAGAGGTAAAAGTAAACTCGTCAGCAGGTAACGCCTGCAGTTGCGTTCATTTACTTCTATCCGTGTGTAATCCGTAGGGGAAGAGTGGCGGTGGTGGGAGAGGGGGGGAGGTAGGGGGCTTGCAAAATAGCAAGTTGAGGGTCAGTCGGGGCATCAACATTTATTTATTGTCGATCATTTGTGCAGCGCAATCATTCAAGCCTAACACACTCAGTTACGATCATAAAATTCGAATTTAAAGTTAGTTGTGCTGGCAGGAGACAGGCTGGCTTTCTCGACCCGGCTGCTCCTGTCAGCATATTTCGTTTAATGATGCAGTATTTGTAAAAATATACTATAATATTTACATTTATACTTATTAAAATGTTATCCATATACAAATGTTTTCTTCAACAGTGGATGGACGACGACGAAATTCCTCCGTTCACCAATAATGTCGACATATCTGTTCTCCATGATTGTCGGCACGATGCCTTACCAGGAGACTTACACGGAAAAGGGAGTACGGGTGAGTCAATAACCTCGTGTTCTATTGCCTTCTCTATGCCCAACTGATGCAAACGAATACGTGAGCATAAAATGCCTGTTTTCTCAGCTACCCTGAAAGGCAGCAAAGGCACAGTACATAGTATGTTTACTGTTAATAAGTTAGTTTGTTGTTACATTCGGCATTATGCAATCGGACTCTGAGCGCTACCATCTTTTTAGCGAGTTACGGTGCTAGTGCGATCAAGGGGTAAACCACAGTAACCACACTAGAAAAAACCTCCTAAAATGTCATGAAACCTCTAACCTGTTATCTATTGTCCGCGTCGTTCATTGAGGGTACAGTGATGGAGGAAGAAACCAACTATTTCAGGTTCGCATTTATGCCGAAGAAGGGAAATTGAACGACACTAGCATGGCTTTAGACCTCGTCCCAAGACTGCTGGCGTTTTTCGAAGATTATTTCCAGTTACCGTACCCACTGATGAAATTGGGTTAGTAATCTTTTTATATACATTAATTATCTATAGTTATTCACATGTCTGTTTTTATTGTTCACCTTCATCTTCATTTTTCAAACAAGCAATTCTGATTCGAATCTAATGCCACAAACTTGCCATTGGCGGTAGCCTAGCTCTCCGCATAACGAAGATACAGCTTATAAGCAAAGATAAGCATTTGCGTCGCCACTTCCGTTTGGAGGATGCGTCCACGCATCCCTACTTACACTCGGATCGTGTAGCGATTGAAGTGCGATTGGCTATACTTGCGCACATATGCGAGGGCCAACCTGTTCAGTATTTTATCACCCTCCTCAAATCAGGTCTGCAACCCATCTGGACAGTCATGTCCAACCGCCCGGCATGCCCCCAGATTTGATCTCAACCGCCGGCGGGTAAGCCAGCGCCAACTGTGCTAGTGCAACCCTGGCTCAAATCTTATAATACTTGAAATTGAAATTCGCACGTACATAAAGGTAGTGATCAGGTGGCCAAAAGACGTTGCAGTTTTGATGCGGTCGTAAGAGGTATTACAGTGAGATGCGCTAAGCAGGCGATCTCGACCAATATAACCCAGCGCGCTGAACACTTTACAATCACTAATGACGATACCATAACATGACAGTGTCACACGAGCCTCGTCAATCGCGTCGCTTTAAATGAAATATGTTTGCGATATAGTACCTCTCGGTCATCCACTGCGGCCAAGCGAAATCGTGTCTGAGATCAATCATTAAGTAAAATTGATCGAACGAAAGAGCCTATTAACCATCGCGTCAAATCATCAGTGAGATTTACGCGTGCAGGCGTGTGAGCATAATATGTCGACATTACGGTTCCATCCATGCTGTGTGTTGTGCTTGCTCTCGACCACGAGTGTTCGTCAGTATAGCGACCTGAAAACTGGGTAAAGATCACATTATGATTTATGTAAATTAAACAACTTCATAAGAGTGCAGAGACACGGGTCGCAATGATCCTGATGAGAGATGTGATTGTAGTGATGACCTCCGCAAATTACGGCATGCCATGCCCCAGGATCGGGCTCGTGTGGTCCTTGCACACGAGCACGAATGTTTTGGTGCGAAGTGGGCCGGCAGCAAAGAAAAAAAGGTTTCCCCAAACGCATTCAAGTTACCGCTCCACTTCACCTTCGCAATCGCCGGCTACCACAAATTAGACTAACAGTCGCGGGTAGGAGAGATAGAGACACAAAGAGAGCGTAGCAGATGAGGAGGGCGCCAGCCAAACAGCGCGTGATAAAAGGAAAAAATCTGCAGCTTCACGCTTCACTCCCGGGTGTAGTTATGCAAGCCCTTTGCGCTTCCCGTCCACGGAACGTCCATTCTGTCGTTGCCTCTAATCCTACAGCCGAAGGGACCGCTTCCACCGTGACCTCTCTGCCCTGGTTTTTAATTCTTATCTGCCTGGTTTATCTTAAGTTCAGCTGTCATGCATAAAATCAGTTTTTCCATCTTTGGCAAACTTGAGTAAGAATTATGCCAATATTGAAAGGGGGCAAACTTCTCGGGTTTCCTCTTACATACGTGGATAATCATGTTCCTTCTAGCCTCAACAAGGCTCAATATCGTGGGAGATCCGAAATTGCGTGCATGGCTGGAACATAGCAGTATGTATGGTGGCCCCGCTTGGGCAGCAGGTATAATGATGGAACTTGGTCTTCTGGGAAAATTCCGTTTGCGATCACTCCGCTCAACGCTGGATCACTATCTAAAACGCAATCATAGAAAAACGACGATCTTCCAAAGTCAACCTGCTTCTTCAGCAGTAGAAAGGTGCGCAAAAAATACTCGAACTGTTCTCATCTCTGCCATCCAAACAAAGATCACCTGTAGTACTGAAGAAGTAATCATTACGCCGCGCACTTGAGCAGGGCCGAACGCAATGTCCATATAACCTGTCGCTGAGTCCTCAGCGCAAGAGAGAGAGAGGTTCAGATCCACCGCGACCAATGGTATAAGGAACTCATACATGCCCGTGGAAAATGTGTTTGACATGCAGCACGAACCGGCATTTTTTTGGGTTGAGTTTACGGTAAATACACAGAGAAGCATTGCCGAACGTGACCTTTCTAGACCTTAATGCCTTCGTGGATAATCGTATAACATATGGAACATATAAATATGGTGATCAAACAGACTATTTAAGAAACGCAATTACTCAACGATAAGTAAAGCTTTTGACTGGGCTATCAAACTCGCCATAGCTTTTGCACATAGTTTTATTGTTTCTGTGACTTTAATTGGTAAACGGCCCCACTTCCTTTGAATGCAATGAGATTGCTCGCGCTGTCACCTGAATTTCTTCGAGACCTGCTGTGATGTAAGGGGGTATCACCAGGCCGTCATCGGGCTCTCAAGTGAAATTCACATAATAATCCTTCCTCGTAGAGGGGACCGGTTACGGTTACGAAAGGTTGGCTGTGAATATTGTCAAAAAGCGTATCGAACTCATTTTATTGGATCATGAAAAAGGTGGCTGCAGATTCAAATATATCGGTACAAGGTTAAATAGAATTGAAAAATGTCGAGCGTGGCGGCACAGGTCGCGAAGCCCATAGGACGACCAATAAGAAATCCTTTGTCATTTCCCATGGATGGTCGGGTCTTCATTCGAGAGAACTCAGAATTCATTACTAGTTTTTGAAGAAACTGGCAGAGCAGGACCAAGTGGGTGAAAAGCTTCCTAGCTTGGCAACCTGTCGAAACTGAGTCGTCACGACTTCGTCCTCCTCGTTGGTTTTCTTTAGTCGACTATGTGTAAAAACGTGGGCCAAAAACGTTAGTCTCGAAGAACTGTTGTCTTCCTTACTAACGAGGAAAGGTCACCAGGCCGGTCCGGCCATTTGCAATGAGGTGTATACCTACGCATTCGTCTTGAGACGATAAGCTAGAAACCGCTTTTCTTATCTGCTAAACGGTGCTCTGAACGGAGTTACGGAAGTTTTCCCCTCAACACTGTACTTAAACGCAGTATATGAGCGCTATCATTGGAGTCGCCACTATAAGCCAAGCGGGAAGGAGCACGTCGTGGTTGACGTGGCGTAAGTGGTAACGCTCCAGGCTTGTAGGCGAGAGGTCATGGGATCGGTCTCTCGTGGTGTTTGTTGTTTTGCCTTTTTGAAAACATGACCAGAAAGGCTTTTAGCGACAGTATCTCCTCAATTCCTGCCTTTACCTGCCTGTGTAAGGAGTTAGGGAGCACCTCTGCGCAGGTTGAAAGCTATTTTTAATTAATATTTGCCATGACTGAAAACGACGCTCATAGCCCACTGATAAGGTGTTTTTGCGGTAAACGAGTATGATATTCGTGTTCAGGAGACCGAATTTTCCCTGGTTACAAGTTTCCAGCTGAATCTGAGATTTTGACCTACACTCGAGAAAGGGCAGTCAACATACAGTCAAACGAGAGAAGGTATGAATCGAAAACTAACTGGAAAAGCACCTTCCCTGAATTTTGATGCAGAGTCATGTAAATCATTTCCGTTATGCGGGAATGTGAGCCGTTGAACGTTTCTCTTTTCAAAATCTTGGTTGGAAGGGCAATTTCCATGCCAAGAGTTCAACGATAGGTTGATGATATGATGGTTGACTCACCTCATTTTTTAGGGTTGGGTCAAAATCTCAGATTCGGTAGGAAACTTATCTCCAAGGGTAGTTTGATCTCCTGAACACGAATATCACGCCTGTTTGCCGCGAAAAAGCCTGACACTTGCATTACGGGCACCATGTTCATACATGGACGACTACTGCCAAACTGCGCTTCCCTTCGCTTTAATAACTGCGTTACGAAGAATCTTTAGCGATAAAGAAGGCAGTTCTGAGCTCAGCGCCCTCGAGCGACTTCAACGGTATTATGGCTGGCGTCGAGCGCCTGAGAGCCGAAGCATCTCACGTGAGGCAAAGTGAGGGCCAGGAACCGGGCCCTGTGAACCTATTTGTCACCCACGTCGTAACCCTGAGCAGATACTTCACTAGCAAGTTGATTTCGGCTCATGGATCGAGTTTTGTGAGCAAGTCTGATACAAGTTCGTTGTCGGCACTTCTGAGCTGTTCAGGAATGGATAGCCAGAACTTCAATTTGAACGAAGTGGTGTATTCTATGTAGTCTCGTTATTCAGTTGAAGGAATGCGCGAAACAACAGACTTTGAATGAGTAACTAGGGGCTTACCTTCAAAGCGAAGAAGATGATATTCTGGGATTATGCAGGAAAGTCGAGAACATTCTAGCCTCATTTAAGGAATTGCCATGGTGCATTGAATAGCCAAGGTGAACATACTCGACAAGAGCATATCCTTCTGTAGTTGATACGCCCATTTGAGGACCTTTGAACTGGATTACGAACAGGGTCACAATAAATTCTTCACCATATTATGCTTCACATCTGTTTTGGCAATGAAATGTTCTCAAAACGAATTGCCGTGGAATTCCAAATGCATAGTGACCGTCTCAGCAGAGTTCTTTACTCACCTAGTTGAATACCCGCACGCTCCCATAGGCTGCGTCTCTCGTCGCTTCGGCATGCACCAAGAGAATGATACCCCACTTCCGTTTGCGGATTCAGCAGTAAAGAATAGTCCGAGCCACCTGCAAAATAATACGTTTGAATGTTTACATCACAATTTTTGCGTTGCTCACACACCATTTGTGCTATTTCTGAGGAGCATTCGTAAAAATTATGGCCATTACTGCACACCATTTATGAGTTCAATCTATCGCGTTCCGTCCCATTTCACATAGATCAAGCGAACCGCACGGTTCCACCACAAGTTGGGAATGAGCTGCGTTAGAACGCTATTACAATCAATCACGCATATCCTGACAGCGAAGCCTTCGGCTATTTCTACCTGTGCCCTGTGCGTTCTTTCGCCGAAGCGTTGTCGTCACGTTCGGTTGCAGGCTCGCACTGTCTCGTGCTCGAACGGTGGAAGGAGGTAGAACCTCGCTTCCTGGGGGACCCAGAAAGCAGAAGAAA